TGACTTTTTGGGTCAGCCACTGCCGACGATTTCCAGGTCTCCAACTGCTGGGCTCTTAGGGATCGGTCTAGATTGCGATGTCACGGCGATGTCCGGCTCGCAGCATGCCGTCTTGATCAGTTTTGGTGTTGAGCTTTTGGCATGTTTTGGCTTTTTGGTGTTGGGCCAACAACAGAAAACTACCACAAGATATTCAAGATACCATTTCTTTGTATTGTCGCGCAAAAAGCAACCATGCGCCCTGGGCCAACCTTTGTGACACCCTTGTGACACCCTTGCGACCTTTCAGTTTTCGGCTTCAGACGGCTTGCCACGCATTCCAGCTATTTTCCAGCTATTTTCCAGTATCTTCCACCATGCGTATGCAGCGTACGCAATGTGCACAGTGGATGCTGTGGTATCGCCTGGTCCTGTTCGCCTGGACCGCGGTCCTCATCGCCGGGGGCGCTGTCGCTTGGAAATTCATCTCGGAGCGCGGCTTTCATCTTCCAGCGATTCCAGGCGCCATGCCATGAAATGCCATGAAATGCCATGAAATGCCATGAAAGCCCTGTTTCGATCGTATGATGTGCAGCAACTGCCGTATAGATCCCCAGAACATTGAGCATCCCAGAACATCCTAGAACCTCCCAGAACCCAACTTTCGCACAGTGACACATGTTGATCATGTTGCATGCTGTTGCCGTGCCAGGCAGCCAGTACGACAAAGAGGAGCAGTCGTACCTGGGTTTCTTCGGTGATGGTGTGGATGGGGCTCAGGCTGCGCTGGTGCTTGGCAGTGATTCCCCAGTCATGGCGATGACCAACGTATCTACCTGTCAGATCAAACCAGCTCTGCAACAAGTTGGGAGCACTGGAAACACTTTCCAGTTGGAGTTGTCCTGTCAGAATGAGTCTGCACCTGGCGGTGGATGTATCACATCTTCACAACTCAGAAGTGAAGTGTACTCGCTGGTGAGCATGTTCATGTCCAACATGATGTCGCCAGAGAATTTGTCTCACTTCCTCGAGCTACAGGTGGAACCAATGCTGGATGCTGCTCCGGAGATGTTGGCTTGTCCGCATGTTGAGGACACCTTTCAAAAAAACCTGGCAGAAGCATCTTTCCAAGTGGAAGAGTCCCTTCGCCAGAAAATGCCGAACTGCGACTTAGCAGTTCTGTCTTTCTGGTCTCTGCCTCCTCAACAGTTTCAGCGCAACTTGACCTTTGCAGAGTTCAAGTTTGAAGTCACGGTCACGCTCCCGGCAGGAAGCTTTTGGAATGTTTTTCAAAAACTGCTCAGCTCCAAAAGCCAAGAACAAATCATGGTGGCAGTTCGTGCGCACACATGCAACGGCTTGCCAGTTGCTGACTTCTCACAGGAGGCTCTTCAAGTGGCCAACATTCTGAAGGATGTTGCAGAGGCGGCAGAGGGCATCGACGGTACCAACTTGAAAGCCGAAGTGATGTCCTTCGCCATCATCGTGGAAAGTATCAGAGATGGGGTTGAAGTGGTGATGGCCATGTCAACAGGTCGGGCCTGGTAGGGATTTTCAGTTTTCATCAGAAATGCGGCAGCCGTTGTAGTTCCAGTGTCTTTTTCAGCCTTTTCAGCTTTATTTTTTTGTGAAAAGTCTCCATGTCATTTTGGAGTGCGGATTGAATATAGCCGAGTGCTGCTTGAAACCGGAAACCTGCTTGGATGACATGTTTGCTGAATTTCTACTGGTGCAGGTACCCTTCCCCTTGGGATTGCGGTCTTGGCATACATGGTGGGGAACCCGCGCTTGGTGATCATTGCCATCATCAATGTACTAGCTGCCGTCACAGGTTCGGTGCTAGTCATGGAGTGCCTTGTAACCCACCTGATGCCGGTGAGCATTTTCACGCCGCCCTTCTTGATTGCAGTGGTCCTGTCCATGTCCATTGACTATGCCTTGTTTCTTTTGAGCAGATTCCAGAAGGAGACAGCAGCAGGTGCAGCAGCAGCTGAAGCCATGGCTATCAGCCTTTCCACATCTGGCCGTATCGTCGCGCAAGCTGGTGTGATCTTAGCATGCTGCTTTGCCTGCTTACTGATGACGCCAGTGCAACTGGTCAGTGCTATGGGAGCAGGTGGGCTTGTGGCGGTGGCTGTGGCCATGGCGGCCAACCTCACCTTGACCCCAGCTCTGATTTTAGGAACGCGACCCACTTTCTGGATTAGCAAACCCAATGCACCTTGTCGACCTTGTCGTCAAGCTCCAGAGGGAGATGCTGAAGCACCAGCAGGTGACGAAGAGTTGCATGTTCCCAATGTTTCCATGGGCTTTTGGCGGAGATTTGGGGAGCGGTTGACGAGCTGTGCCAAGCCTCTTCTGTTCTTGATTCTACTCTCTGCAGCCCCTTGCGTTTGGAAGGACTCGATGCCTTCTTCAGACATGTTGGGTTTCACACCAGCCCTTCCACAAGGCTCGTCCACAGCCAAAATCTTCCACAGCATTGGTGAAGAGTTTGGATATGAAGTTCTTTTCCCCACAACAATCGGGCTGGTGGCTCCAGCTGAAGTGAGCCTGGAAGCGTGGAGGCTCCAGGCTTGCAAGGCTTTACAGGAGATTGGGGAAGAGGTGTACAGAAGTGACTTCACGAGTTCAACCACCGTCCCACCCCAGACCCCACACCGACGACAGTCATTCAGTGAGGCCAACCGCACGCCCCTTGCCGCACAGTTGACTCCGTTCCCAGACCACTGCAAGTCTGTGCAAGCACACGGTGCGCCCACCCCAAACCAATGGACAGGAAGGTACCGTCGCCTACATCGACTACCCATTGAATCCTTTGTCCATCGATGGACAACGATGGACCAAGAGCTTGCAGAGAGCTGTGGAAGACCATCATCGGGGCAGATGGTATGTGCATGGATATGGTCCACTCTTGTCCAGCCAATCTGGTGAGATTTTCCATATTTGGTTGTTGCAACGGTTTGCGCGGTCCTTCTCATTTCCATTTGCTTCACACGATCTGTTTTATGGAGCTTGCGGGCCCTCCTTTGCCTGTTCTGGATGTTAGCTGTTCTTTGGTGTTTGTCCTCCCTCGTCTTTCCTGAAGGGCTATACTACATTGTGCCTTCCATGATGTTGCCCTTCCTGGTGGGTGTGGCCTTGGATTATGACATTTTCTATACTGAGGCAGTCTTGGAAGAATGCAATGGTGGCCTCCCAGTGAAAAAGGCTGGCATCAAAGCGCTTGAGAAGACTGCCAACATCATCACAGCAGCCGGAGTGGTCATGATAATAGCCTTTTGCCCACTCCTGCTTTCTTCAACGCTAGTCTTGAAGCAGATTGGTTTCATGGCAATTGGTGGTTTGTCTATCAGTGCTTTCTGGAACACCAAAGTGGCCATGCCCGTGTGCTTGCACTTCTGCGGGAAGCACAGCTTTTGGCCTCGGAATTTGGAGAAAAAGCAGCGCTGCCAGCAGCCAATTGATGCCATTTTCCTGGGGCACCCTGCCTACCTGGTAGATACGTTTACCTGGTTGACCTCGCCTGACACCGAAAAGCCATGGAGCGCATCGTGGTGGATGTACCTCTTCCTTCCTGTTCTTTGGCTGCTTGGTTTCGTTGGGGCGCATATCTTGAGGCGCCTTGGCTTGCCAAATCATGTTGTTTTGGATGACTACGAGTACAACGGACTTCATGTCCAGACTTGGGTGGTTCTGCACTACGGCCGCCACTTTCGCAACTCTTTGGAACTTCATGATGCTCGACGCAACGTGAGGGCAGCAGCCAGCAGGGCTGAGAAGACCGGCGCCCGGGTGCTAGGATTAGGTGCGCTCAACAAGGCAGAATCTTTGAACCGTGGAGGCCTGGACTTGGTTCAGCACTTGCCTTTAAGCCGAAGCATGTGTGTGACTCATGGAGATCATCTCACAGCTGCTGCAGTGGTGGAGAATGTGCTACGGCTGGTCGCAAGGTTCCCTGAGTTTCGGGAGAAAATCTTCATGACCGGAGCCACGGGGAAGACCGGGAAGGCCGTTGCGCTGGCCTTATTGCGCCGCGGTGTCTCCGTGATGTGCCACAGTGGCAGCAAGCAAAGACGAGATGAATTGGAGACTCATGGGCTAGCCACTGCATCCCACCTGCGTGATGGGGCTGACTGCGGCATGTGGATTGTGGGTAAATATGACCAGTTGGTGAACCAAGTCATGCCTCTATCTGCTGTTGCCTGTGTCTTTGCGGTGCCAAATCCAGTTAATCCAGTGTCCCGCTCAGATGTCATGGTATATGCTGGTGCCACCATGCAGATTGATGAGTCGCGCTTGAAAGGACAACGAGCAAATCTGAAGCTCTTACGCCAAGAGATTTATGCATGCAATGCAGCCACCCTGCTTCTTGCATCAGGTTCCAAGCAGTTCGATGATTTGGGTGAAGTGGATCCACTGACATTGGAAGGCTACCTGGAGGGGGCTGAATCCATTGGCATCACTTTGAAGCCTCTTGAAGACTTGCATAGTAAGGGGCGGTAGCTCTTAGAATTTTGGGTTGTGACCTTTTTTGCACATTTGTGCTACAGCTACAGCTCCTGCGCGGGGCCTTAAGCCTTAGCGGAATGTGGCTCTCTCACAACCATTTTTCCAGTTGCGCAGCATGCGCAGTGGTTGTACAGCATGCACAGAGGTCATGGGATTGATCGACGCAATAGCAAACCAGACAGCACGAAGACCCCAAGTTTTGATTTCTCATCAAGTTCGATGAATCTGGCTTGAAATGGGCTTGATGAGCCATGAAAGGTTTGCTGTTGTGTCTAAGTCCATGTCATTGCCTAGAGGCTGTGCCAACGCCCGTTTTGAGGGTTGAAAAGAAGTGTGCTTGATGTGCCAATCCCTGGTCCAATCGTGTTGGGTTGCCACCCTGGTTTCGTCCCCTACAGACGTTTTTATTGAATTCCTGCTTCAGGTTCAAGATCGAAGCGTCCTTTGACCGGGAAAACTGGTGGCGAAAAAAATGGTGGGTTCGAAGGTGCGGCGGTGGTGGGGCATTGAGAGCTGGAGAGCTTGCATTCATTGGAGGCATCAGGCCCGCGCCTTGCCCCTGAAACTCTAGTGAAACTGACTGTCCGACGGAGTTCTTGCCGTTCCGGACGATTCAGTCCAGGTTTGGAGTGTTTGCTTTACCCCTGTCATTCCGGTGGCAAAGAACTTGTGAAGTTTTGAGTTGCGAGCAATGGAGAACCCATTGAAAAACCACCGGAAGTTTGATGCTTTTGCTTGAACTTATCTTTGCAATCACGTTGGTGGAGGTCATGAAAATTGCAGCCACACGGGTCGCTCGAGCACAGGACTTGCAGTTGACATAGAGATATATGTTTGCGGCGTTTTTGTTCCGAATGTGTTTCCTTGCATTTTCCCAAAAGACAATCCAAAACTCCGCAGATGCTTCCTGCAGGAAGTTCAAATCCATGGCCTGCAGAGAGCGTCGAGCGCCGGGGTGCCTTGGATGCGGCGCCAGTTCAAAGTTGTTAGTTTTCTTTTTAAGTTTGTGATGATTTTGTGCTGATTTTGATGCCGTTGCTTTCAGTTTGAACGCTTTGCGCTTCCAAAATGATCTGAAAGCCATTCATCATGGGGAAGTTTCATGACATCATGCATCATAGCACAGCTTCACATGCGACCATGAAACCCAGCGTGGTTACAACGGCGCAACGACATTCAGCCAGGTTCGCACAGCGACACGTGTGTCTTTGCAAAGCTATGTTCATTGCTCTTACAGATGCCATGTACATGGATGCAGGGTTGAAACAGCGTGCACTTCAACACTGGGGGTCTTAAAACAAGGGAAGTTTACACAGGCTTAGCCTCCCTGTATATGCAACTGATGCAAAAGTGAACAGTGACAAGTCTTTAGGGGCAGGGTAACGTGTGGTTGAGCATGGATGCAAGAATGACCAGATAGGGCAGCAATACTAGTCTTCTGATAAGCAACGTTGCCTTTGACGGACCTTCCCGCTGAGCCCATGCAATTTGCATAGATGCAAGAGCGATAGATGTTCTGCGTGTGTGTGAATTAAGTTTTGCAAGTAGCAAGGGCATTTCAGTGCTGCAGGGGAATGGGTGTATACCGTATACCAGTGTTTGATAGTAGAACAGCTGCGCCAGGGAGAAATTAGCATGGCGCTTTTACAATTATGGGCTGTACCATTCCAGCTGGATGTTTACTGTCAAACTGTTGGCATTTGTTGGCATGTGGGGTTTGGGGGGGTCACTTGTTTCAAGCACATGTGCAAATGTTTGATTGGCCCATCTAGCATCCAAAAACGTCACCATACGTTCGAACAGTGTTGGACACCTCTGTTGGACGTTGGACACAGAGCCCTTAACCAGGATGATTTCTGCGCGTGTGAAAAACAGCCTCTTTGAGATTGGGCTCTTAGGATGTTGCCTTCGGGGAAACTGCTAATGCGCCTGCCTCACGCCCCAGGCTGGGGTATATCCTGGGATCACAAACGGAGATTGCGGTTTTGGAAGTAGCTTCTCCCATCGCTTTTCAGCTTTTCCATGAGATATCCGGAATTTACATGAATTTGTCACTATCTACGGTAGCGCATGTCCAACCGTCCAACCCTGCTTGACAGTGGCACAATGTGGCACATGTTGTTCAACCTGATTCTGCCAGGTCGAAACCCTCATCGGACACGGACAGGCGGGTCATGAGTTGCGTGTACCAGGCCGAAAGTCTGACATCAGTGAAAAACTACAGCACATGGGATGAATTTCAAAGAGGCTTGGAAAGGTGTTTTGCGATTACTTGTCTTTTCCGAATTTTTGAGTTTGGTTGTTTTCTGTTTAAACTTTGACCCTCACAGGAAGCATGTGTACAATCAAGATTCGGCCAAGGCGCCGACGCTTGCACCAGCAGCAACGCCGGGTCCTGGTCAGGCTTGGAAACATAGGGCAAGATTGGCGAGATGTTCCTACCATTTGCATCCATTTGCGCGCTTTGGAGATGGCTGCTGTACATGATTAGAGGAAAGATTTGAAATAATTCACATGATTTCTCATAATTCGAGTCGTTTTGGTGATGGTAAAATCAATTATCTTTGAGGCCACGGAAGTCCTGTGACTTTTTGGGTCAGCCACTGCCGACGATTTCCAGGTCTCCAACTGCTGGGCTCTTAGGGATCGGTCTAGATTGCGATGTCACGGCGATGTCCGGCTCGCAGCATGCCGTCTTGATCAGTTTTGGTGTTGAGCTTTTGGCATGTTTTGGCTTTTTGGTGTTGGGCCAACAACAGAAAACTACCACAAGATATTCAAGATACCATTTCTTTGTATTGTCGCGCAAAAAGCAACCATGCGCCCTGGGCCAACCTTTGTGACACCCTTGTGACACCCTTGCGACCTTTCAGTTTTCGGCTTCAGACGGCTTGCCACGCATTCCAGCTATTTTCCAGCTATTTTCCAGTATCTTCCACCATGCGTATGCAGCGTACGCAATGTGCACAGTGGATGCTGTGGTATCGCCTGGTCCTGTTCGCCTGGACCGCGGTCCTCATCGCCGGGGGCGCTGTCGCTTGGAAATTCATCTCGGAGCGCGGCTTTCATCTTCCAGCGATTCCAGGCGCCACCCCCCCCCCCCCCCCCCCCCCCCCCCCCCCACCCCCCCCCCCCCCCCCCCCCCCCCCCCCCCCCCCCCCCCCCCACCCCCCCCCCCCCCCCCCCCCCCCCCCCCCCCCCCACCCCCCCCCCCCCCGCCCCCCCCCCCCCTTGCCATGAAATGCCATGAAAGCCCTGTTTCGATCGTATGATGTGCAGCAACTGCCGTATAGATCCCCAGAACATTGAGCATCCCAGAACATCCTAGAACCTCCCAGAACCCAACTTTCGCACAGTGACACATGTTGATCATGTTGCATGCTGTTGCCGTGCCAGGCAGCCAGTACGACAAAGAGGAGCAGTCGTACCTGGGTTTCTTCGGTGATGGTGTGGATGGGGCTCAGGCTGCGCTGGTGCTTGGCAGTGATTCTCCAGTCATGGCAATGACCAACGTATCTACCTGTCAGATCAAACCAGCTCTGCAACAAGTTGGGAGCACTGGAAACACTTTCCAGTTGGAGTTGTCCTGTCAGAATGAGTCTGCGCCTGGCGGTGGATGTATCACATCTTCACAACTCAGAAGTGAAGTGTACTCGCTGGTGAGCATGTTCATGTCCAACATGATGTCGCCAGAGAATTTGTCTCACTTCCTCGAACGACAGGTGGAACCAATGCTGGATGCTGCTCCGGAGATGTTGGCTTGTCCGCATGTTGAGGACACCTTTCAAAAAAACCTGGCAGAAGCATCTTTCCAAGTGGAAGAGTCCCTTCGCCAGAAAATGCCGAACTGCGACTTAGCAGTTCTGTCTTTCTGGTCTCTGCCTCCTCAACAGTTTCAGCGCAACTTGACCTTTGCAGAGTTCAAGTTTGAAGTCACGGTCACGCTCCCAGCAGGAAGCTTTTGGAATGTTTTTCAAAAACTGCTCAGCTCCAAAAGCCAAGAACAAATCATGGTGGCAGTTCGTGCGCACACATGCAACGGCTTGCCAGTTGCTGACTTCTCACAGGAGGCTCTTCAAGTGGCCAACATTCTGAAGGATGTTGCAGAGGCGGCAGAGGGCATCGACGGTACCAACTTGAAAGCCGAAGTGATGTCCTTCGCCATCATCGTGGAAAGTATCAGAGATGGGGTTGAAGTGGTGATGGCCATGTCAACAGGTCGGGCCTGGTAGGGATTTTCAGTTTTCATCAGAAATGCGACAGCCGTTGTAGTTCCAGTGTCTTTTTCAGCCTTTTCAGCTTTATTTTTTTGTGAAAAGTCTCCATGTCATTTTGGAGTGCGGATTGAATATAGCCGAGTGCTGCTTGAAACCGGAAACCTGCTTGGATGACATGTTTGCTGAATTTCTACTGGTGCAGGTACCCTTCCCCTTGGGATTGCGGTCTTGGCATACATGGTGGGGAACCCGCGCTTGGTGATCATTGCCATCATCAATGTACTAGCTGCCGTCACAGGTTCGGTGCTAGTCATGGAGTGCCTTGTAACCCACCTGATGCCGGTGAGCATTTTCACGCCGCCCTTCTTGATTGCAGTGGTCCTGTCCATGTCCATTGACTATGCCTTGTTTCTTTTGAGCAGATTCCAGAAGGAGACAGCAGCAGGTGCAGCAGCAGCTGAAGCCATGGCTATCAGCCTTTCCACATCTGGCCGTATCGTCGCGCAAGCTGGTGTGATCTTAGCGTGCTGCTTTGCCTGCTTACTGATGACGCCAGTGCAACTGGTCAGTGCCATGGGAGCAGGTGGGCTTGTGGCGGTGGCTGTGGCCATGGCCGCCAACCTCACCTTGACCCCAGCTCTGATTTTAGGAACGCGACCCACTTTCTGGATTAGCAAGCCCAATGCACCTTGTCGTCAAGCTCCAGAGGGAGATGCTGAAGCACCAGGTGACGAAGAGTTGCATGTTCCCAATGTTTCCATGGGCTTTTGGCGGAGGTTTGGGGAGCGGTTGGCAAGCTGTGCCAAGCCTCTTCTGTTCTTGATTCTACTCTCTGCAGCCCCTTGCGTTTGGAAGGACTTGATGCCTTCTTCAGACATGTTGGGTTTCACACCAGCCCTCCCACAAGGCTCGTCCACAGCCAAAATCTTCCACAGCATTGGTGAAGAGTTTGGATATGAAGTTCTTTTCCCCACAACAATCGGGCTGGTGGCTCCAGCTGAAGTGAACCTGGAAGCGTGGAGGCTCCAGGCTTGCAAGGCTTTACAGGAGATTGGGGAAGAGGTGTACAGAAGTGACTTCACGAGTTCAACCTTCATGAGTGAAGTCATCATTGATGGCAAGTGCTTGGCAGTTGATGTTGCTGGAAGTCTGCTGAAGTGGTGGCAAACCAATGGACAGGAAGGTACCGTCGCCTACATCGACTACCCATTGAATCCTTTGTCCATCGATGGACAACGATGGACCAAGAGCTTGCAGAGAGCTGTGGAAGACCATCATCGGGGCAGATGGTATGTGCATGGATATGGTCCACTCTTGTCCAGCCAATCTGGTGAGATTTTCCATATTTGGTTGTTGCAACGGTTTGCGCGGTCCTTCTCATTTCCATTTGCTTCACACGATCTGTTTTATGGAGCTTGCGGGCCCTCCTTTGCCTGTTCTGGATGTTAGCTGTTCTTTGGTGTTTGTCCTCCCTCGTCTTTCCTGAAGGGCTATACTACATTGTGCCTTCCATGATGTTGCCCTTCCTGGTGGGTGTGGCCTTGGATTATGACATTTTCTATACTGAGGCAGTCTTGGAAGAATGCAATGGTGGCCTCCCAGTGAAAAAGGCTGGCATCAAAGCGCTTGAGAAGACTGCCAACATCATCACAGCAGCCGGAGTGGTCATGATAATAGCCTTTTGCCCACTCCTGCTTTCTTCAACGCTAGTCTTGAAGCAGATTGGTTTCATGGCAATTGGTGGTTTGTCTATCAGTGCTTTCTGGAACACCAAAGTGGCCATGCCCGTGTGCTTGCACTTCTGCGGGAAGCACAGCTTTTGGCCTCGGAATTTGGAGAAAAAGCAGCGCTGCCAGCAGCCAATTGATGCCATTTTCCTGGGGCACCCTGCCTACCTGGTAGATACGTTTACCTGGTTGACCTCGCCTGACACCGAAAAGCCATGGAGCGCATCGTGGTGGATGTACCTCTTCCTTCCTGTTCTTTGGCTGCTTGGTTTCGTTGGGGCGCATATCTTGAGGCGCCTTGGCTTGCCAAATCATGTTGTTTTGGATGACTACGAGTACAACGGACTTCATGTCCAGACTTGGGTGGTTCTGCACTACGGCCGCCACTTTCGCAACTCTTTGGAACTTCATGATGCTCGACGCAACGTGAGGGCAGCAGCCAGCAGGGCTGAGAAGACCGGCGCCCGGGTGCTAGGATTAGGTGCGCTCAACAAGGCAGAATCTTTGAACCGTGGAGGCCTGGACTTGGTTCAACACTTGCCTTTAAGCCGAAGCATGTGTGTGACTCATGGAGATCATCTCACAGCAGCTGCAGTGGTGGAGAATGTGCTACGGCTGGTCGCAAGGTTCCCTGAGTTTCGGGAGAAAATCTTCATGACCGGAGCCACGGGGAAGACCGGGAAGGCCGTTGCGCTGGCCTTATTGCGCCGCGGTGTCTCCGTGATGTGCCACAGTGGCAGCAAGCAAAGACGAGATGAATTGGAGACTCATGGGTTGGCCACTGCATCCCACCTGCGTGATGGGGCTGACTGTGGCATGTGGATTGTGGGTAAATATGACCAGTTGGTGAACCAAGTCATGCCTCTATCTGCTGTTGCCTGTGTCTTTGCGGTGCCAAATCCAGTTAATCCAGTGTCCCGCTCAGATGTCATGGTATATGCTGGTGCCACCATGCAGATTGATGAGTCGCGCTTGAAAGGACAACGAGCAAATTTGAAGCTCTTACGCCAAGAGATTTATGCATGCAATGCAGCCACCCTGCTTCTTGCATCAGGTTCCAGGCAGTTCGATGAATTGGGTGAAGTCGATCCATTGACATTGGAAGCCTACCTGGAGGGGGCTGAATCCATTGGCATCACTCTGAAGCCTCTTGAAGAACTTGCACAGTAAGGGGCGGTAGCTCTTAGAAACTTTTGGGTTGTGCTCTCTCACAACCATTTGTACCAGGAAGCGTTCGAGGGAAGCGTTCGAGGGAATTGGTTCCTGGATTTGGCAGACTATTATTACTTTTTTTTTTCCTGGGGGGGGGTGGCAGACTATTATTACTTTTTTTTTTCTCTGGGGTGGGGGGGGGCCTTATGATTATTATTTTTTAATTCCTTTCTTGTCCTTTCCGGGATCGCCACTAATTTAGTCTACGGAAGCTTTTTCGTGCATTGAAATTAGTCTTGTGAGGCTTTCCTGTCCTTTCCGGTTTTTTTTCCCCTAGACTAACTATATATGCAAAAAAAAGTCCCCTAGACTAAATATATTTTCCAAAAAAAGCCCGTAGACTAAATATATATTCAAAACAAAATCTGTAGACTAAATATATCTTCAAATAAAAATCTGTAGACTAAATATATCTTCAAAAAAAATCCGTAGACTAAATATATATTCAAAAAAAATCCGTAGACTAAATATATTTTAAAAAAAAACCGTAGACTAAATCTATTTTCAAAAAAAAATCCCTAGACTAAATATATCTTCACAAAAAATTCCCCTAGACTACATATATCTTCAAACAAAAATTCTCCAGACAAAATATATCTTCAAAAAAAAATCCGTAGACTAAATATATATACCAAAAAAAATCCGTAGATTAAATATATACTTTAAAAAAAACCTAGACGAAATATATTTTCCAAAAAAAGCCCGTAGACTAAATATATATTCAAAACAAATCTGTAGACTAAATATATCTTCAAAAAAAAATCCGTAGACTAAATATATATTCAAAAAAAAACCGTAGACTAAATATATATTAAACAAAAAACCGTAGACTAAATCTATCTTCAAAAAAAAATCCCTAGACTAAATATATCAGTTAAAAAAATTTCTTAGACTAAATATATCTTCACAAAAAATCCCCTAGACTAAATATATCTTCCAAAAAAAATCCCTAGACTAGATATATCTTCTAAAAAAAACCCCTAGACTAAGTATATCTTCCCAAAAAAAAACCGAGACTAAATCTATATTCCAAAAAAAATCCCTAGTAAAAATTTCAAGGACCTTCAAACATCGATTTTTTCCTTTGAAAAGTGCTTCTTTTACAGGGTTTGGTGCCAAATCTGGACCCCTGGGCCTTTTGAAGCTCCAAAACCAATCTATATTCAAAAAAAATCCACTAGACTAAATATATCTTCAAAAAAGTTCCCCTAAACTAAATATATCTGCAAAAAAATTCCCCTAGACTACATATATCTTCAAAAAAAATTCTCCAGACTAAATATATCTTCAAAAAAAAATCCGTAGACTAAATATATATATATATATACACGTAGACTAAATATATATATATACAAAAAAAAACCGTAGATTAAATATATACAAAAAAAAATCCTAGACTAAATATATTTTCCAAAAAAAGCCCGTAGACTAAATATATATTCAAAACAAAATCTGTAGACTAAATATATCTTTAAAAAAAAATCCGTAGACTAAATATATATTCAAAAAAATTCCGTAGACTAAATATATATTAAGAAAAAAACCGTAGACTAAATATTTATTCGAAAAAAAATCCGTAGACTAAAAAAAGTAATAATAATTGGCCGCCCCCCCCCCTCCGGTCTACGGGACGGGGGGGGGGTTCCACCAATTATTATTATTTCAAGTAATCGTAGTTGCTTCTCCCCCCATTATTATTACTTCAAGTAATAATAATTGGCCGCCCCCCCCCTCCCCCCCCCCGAGGAAAAAAAAGTGTAATATAGTTGTCAAGCCCCCCCCCGAGAAAAAAAAGGAAAAAACCAGAAAAAAAAGTAATAATAATTCAACACCCCCCGGCCCCCCTCACCGGTTTCTGCCCCTCACCCTAGACTAGATATATCTTCAAAAAAATACCCCTAGACGAAATATATCTTCAAAAAAATTTCCCTAGACTAAATATATCTTCAAAAAAAATCCCCTAGACTAAATATATATTCAAAAAAAATCCCCTAGACTAAATATATCTTCAAGAAAATTTCCCTAGACTAAATATATCTTCAAAAAAAATCCCTAGACTAAATATATATTTAAAAAAAATCCCCTAGACTAAATATAGCTCCAAAAAAAATTCCCTAGACTAAATATACTCAAAAAAATTGTCCTAGATAGTATATCAAAAAAAATCCCTAGACTAAATATACTTCAAAAAAAATCCCTAGATCTTCAAAAAAAATCCCTAGACTAAATATATAAAAAAATACCTAGACTAAATATATCTTCAAAAAAATTCCCTAGACTAAATATATCTTAAATTTCCCTAGACTAATTATATCTTCAAAAATCAAATCCCTATTGACTTTTAAAAAAAATATGGACCCCTCTGCAAAACCAAAATTCCCCTAGACTAAATATATCTTCAAAAAAGTTCCCCTACATATATCTTCTTAGACATATACAAAAATTCTCCAGACTAAATATATCTTCAAAAAAAATCCGTAGACTAAATATATATACAAAAAAAAATCCGTAGATTAAATATATACTTAAAAAAAACCCTAGACTAAATATATTTTCCAAAAAAAGCCCGTAGACTAAATATATATTCAAAACAAAATCTGTAGACTAAATATATATAAAAATAGACTAAATATATATTCAAAAAAAATCCGTAGACTAAATACTAAATCTATTCAAAAAAAATCCCTAGACTAAATATATCTGTTAAAAAAATTTCTTAGACTAAATATATCTTCACAAAAAATCCCCTAGACTAAATATATCTTCCAAAAAAAATCCCTAGACTAGATATATCTTCAAAAAAAATCCCCTAGACTAAGTATATCTTCCCAAAAAAAATCCGAGACTAAATCTATATTCCAAAAAAAGTCCCTAGTAAAAATTCAAGGACCTTCAAACATCGATTTTTTCCTTTTGAAAAGTGCTTCTTTTACAGGGTTTGGTGCCAAATCTGGACCCCTGGGCCTTTTGAAGCTCCAAAACCAATCTATATTCAAAAAAAATCCACTAGACTAAATATATCTTCAAAAAAGTTCCCCTATACTAAATATATCTGCAAAAAAAATTCCCCTAGACTACATATATCTTCAAAAAAAATTCTCCAGACTAAATATATCTTCAAAAAAAAATCCGTAGACTAAATAAATATATATATATATACAAAAAAAATCCGTAGATTAAATATATACAAAAAAACCCTAGACTAAATATATTTTCCAAAAAAAGCCCGTAGACTAAATATATATTCAAAACAAAATCTGTAGACTAAATATATCTTCAAAAAAAATCCGTAGACTAAATATATATTCAAAAAAAATCCGTAGACTAAATATATATTAAAAAAAAACCGTAGACTAAATATTTATTCGAAAAAAAATCCGTAGACTAAAAAAAGTAATAATAATTGGCCGCCCCCCCCCCCTCCGGTCTACGGGACGGGGGGGGTGTTCCACCAATTATTATTATTTCAAGTAATCGTAGTTGCTTCTCCCCCCATTATTATTATTTCAAGTAATAATAATTGCTCAAATCCGGTTTCCCCCAATTATTATTACTTGAAGTAATCGATTGCCCCCCCCCCCTTTCCCTGCCTCCCAGCGTTGGGGTGGCTCCTTTCCAGCTGTTGCAAGAAGTAATGATTATCTCCGGCCCCCCCCCCAAACAAAAAAAAAGTAATAATAATCGATTGCCCCCCCCCCGAGAAAAAAAAAGTAATAATAATCGATTGCCCTCCCCCCCTTTCCCTCCCTCCCAGCGTTGGTGTGGCGTCTTTCCAGCTGTTGCAAGAAGTAATGATTATCTCCCGCCCCCCCCCAAAGAAAAAAACAAGTAATAATAATCGATTGCCCTCCCCCCCTTTCCCTCCCTCCAGCGTTGGTGTGGCTCCTTTCCAGCTGTTCCATGAAGTAATGATTATCTCCCGCCCCCCTCCCCCCAAAGAAAAAAAAAGTAAAAATAATCAATTGCCCCCCGCCCCCCCCCTTCCCCTCGCACTCCCAGCGTTGGTGTTCCCCGCTTCCTCCCCTTCTCTGGAAGCACACAATGGTTATCTCCCACCCCCCCCCCAAAGAAAAAACAGTAATAATAATCGCTTGCCCACCCCCCCTCCCCTTTAAAAAATGGTTTCGAACGCGGCCTCATTTGTACAGTTGCGCAGCATGGGCAGTGGTTGTACAGCATGCGCAGAGGTCATGGGATTGATCGACGCAATAGCAAACCAGACAAACCGAAACCATCGAAGACCCCAAGTTTTGATTTCTGATCAAGTTCGATGAATCTCGCTTGAAACGGGCTTGATGAGCCATGAAAGGTTTGCTGTTGTGTCTAAGTTCATATCATTGCCTAGAGGCCGCGCAAACGCCCAGTTTAAGGGTTGAAAAAAACGTGCTTGATGTGCCAATCCATGAATCTTTCAAAGTCTATCCAACAGTTTTGGGTTGCTGCCCCCGCTTTCGCCCCGGCCTACAGATGTTTTTATTGAAATCCTGCTTCAGGTTCAAGATGGAAGCGTCTAGATCAGAATGGAAATCCGGTTTGATCCGGTGTGCATTCAACAAGATTGGCGGCGAGAAAATTGATGTGTTCGAAGGTGCCGCGGTGGGCAGCTCGGTTCAACATGAGGTGTACATGAGGGGAAAGACTCAAGGCCACACTCACCTTTTGGGCTGTCAACAACTTCCATTGGGGAGCTTGTTTGGCTCAAAGATTTCTGCTTGCACAGTATTGATGGGTTTTTGCTTGTTGTTTCAATTTCCATTTTTTTTTGTGCGGATTCGATCTACAGATGTGAATTACATTGAATGGTAATCTGTTTGCACCGAAGATCAAAACCAAAGCCAACTTTGCTGCCGAATGGTCAGCTCTGCTGCGATTTTCGCCTTGCAATTGACAGCTACTGGCGCAGCAACGATTTCGGCTGGCACAGACCACAGTTGCTGGATCACTTCAGATTCCGCTAC